CGCCGCCGTGTGCTGCGCCTGCAGCGCTTCTACGCGCGAGCCCGCGGAGGGCGGAACAAGCCCGGCGGGTGCAGAGCCAGGTGAGCTGGGCGAGCCCCCCCAGCTGCACAGTGGAAGGAGGAAACCGACCGCGCGCCGCTTGACCTAGGTGTCATGGTTTATTCGCTAAACTGTTCGACGCATTCGATTAAGAAGGTGTTCGACCCTGTATTAAAACGAAAACGAGGCACGTGGAGACCCTTTATATACGCCTTTTAAGTTTTCACTTAGTGCAAGCCCTTTTTTCTTGGCCACTTTTACCTTGGTCACTACGGTCGCCGATACATTTCAATAGCATGAAGTTGTAGGTAACGTTTACATTAGCTGATCTCTGCACGCTGCATACATTTTATGGACAAAGTTCTACATGGGCATTTCAAATGGAAGTTTTTCTTTAGACAGGTTAACTAAATTCCTTTTCCTCCGTGACTACCTCCCAAAAACAAACCCTCAAGAAAATCACTACACCAGAAGTGGCCAGCTAAAGAAGGCCAGAGAATGTGTTGCCAGCTTTTTTGCTATAAGGTGCATACTCATGAATTCCCATTCATGCAGTCTTTTTAGAAAGGCAATTCCCATAGCTTTCAGTTTGTCCAGTTAGTCCCCCACATTCTCTCCCTCCCCACCACACACACAGAATTAGGTCCATATTAGAACAGAAACTATGAACAAAAATTACAGTAATAAACTCTATTTAAAGAGCTGATAGATCTTACCCTTCAGAAGAAATGAGTGACATCTAAGAGAGTAAATGATGAAAGCACTAGACTACTGGATATCAGTGGGGGTAAAAATGCTTTTGACAACATCAACTGGAAACTCCACAACAGAAAAACACACGCTTAGTCCAGCATATAGAGGTGGCATTTAATTCAGGGTATAATTAAGAGACAAGGAGAAAACACATGGCCGTGTTTAGGCAGGAACAATTCCCAGTGAGTATTTAGTTAGAAGCTTATTCCCAAATGTGCTAAGTGAACTGGAAAGTAGTACAGGCAGTCCCCGAGTTACGCGGATCCGACTTATGTCGGATCCGCAGTTACGAACGGGGCTTTTCTCGCCCCGGAGGACGGGAGCGGCGGGACGCCCAGATGCGCCGCGGTCCACCGCCCCCGTCCTCCGGGGCGAGAAAAGCTGCTCCCCGTCTCCCTGGTCTGCAGGGAGACGGGAAGCCAAGCCTTGGAGCACGCCCGCAGCAGGACAGCCCAGGCAGTGGGACAGCCGCGGCGCGCCTGGACTGTCCCGCTGCCCGCGTGCTCTGCGGCTTTGCTCTGCGTCTCCCC